ATAATGAGGAGGTCCGAGAATTGGTTCAAAAAGTATGGTCGATGGAGGTGGTGGGCTCTCCGATGTACATGCTCTGGTGCAAGCTCAAAAAGCTTCGCCATGAGCTGTATATCTGGAATAAAGCCGGCAAATCAAACTCAGAACGTAAAATTAGGATTACAGAGGAACTGGATGAGACCCGGGAGGCTCCAGTGGTGGATTGGGATCGAATTAGGGTGTTGGAGCGGCAATTGAATGAGGCTTGGATTGAGGAGGAGATTTATTGGCGTCAAAAGTCGAGGATTCAGTTGCTGAAGGAAGGGGATCGGAATACTCCCTACTTTCACACGGTTACGAAGGCCAGGAGACGCTGGAATTTTATTCATGGTTTGTTTAATGCGGCGGGTGATTGGGTGACTTCTGAGGGGGAGAAAGGCCAGGTGTCTTGTGATTTCTATACAGATTTGTTCACAACATCGGGTGTCTGTGCTCAACAGATTGAAGAAGCAATTGCACAATTGAATTTCCCGCAACGGGTGACTCAGAGAATGAACGAGAGACTGGTGGCCTCGGTGCTACCAGCTGAAGTCCGTCGTAGTGTATTCCAAATTGGGGCAACGCAAGCTCTGGGATCGGATGGATACACGGGGACTTTCTTTCGTCAGTTTTGGGATACTGTTGGGGGAGATGTGATTGCAGCAGTGTGCCATTTCTTTGAGACGGGTTCTCTTTTGAAAAACTTTAATCACACTTGGTTGACTTTGATTCCAAAGGTAGAGAAGGTGGAGAGAATGACTCAAATCCGTCCCATTAGTCTATGCCAGTTTGTGTACAAGATTATTGCAAAGATATTAGCGGAACGATTGGCGAGATATTTGCCATCGGTTGTTTCTCCAGGGCAGAATGGATTTGTGCGCGGGCGACAGATTGTGGACAATGTCATTATTGGGCATGAGGTTATGCATTATTTGTAGAACAAGCGAGTCGGTAAATAGGGGTATATGGCGTTGAAGGTGGATATGGAGAAGGCGTATGATAGGGTGGAATGGCCATTTTTGTTCGCATTGCTCGAGAAACTTGGTTTCAGTGCGCAATGGATTAAATGGCTTCGGGCTTGTGTGACTTCTCCAACTTTTTCCGTCATGATGAATGGACAGCCGGTGGGATACTTTAGGTCGACTCGTGTTCTTAGGCAGGGGGATCCGTTGTCTCCTTTGTTATTTGCCTTATGACTCACTCCTATTGTCACTCTAGAAAATGGCCAAGTGTAACCACTTCCTAAAGCGTAGTATAGCGGGTTTGGGTTTTAATGTCAACCCGGGTCCTAAATTTGATGACTACTCGGTGAATTCTTGTTATCTAGCAGTGAAAATTTAGTGCAGATTCAAGCAAACAAAAACACAAACAAGTTAAACGGTTGTTCAAGTCAAGAGAGGTCACCCGGATATGGTTCCCCCTAGACTGCAGTTAAGCCGGATTGCAATTTACCAAGTTCAGTTTCCATGAAAGTTATACTGCGGAAGGTTCTTAAACAGTCTGAAGTCTCGACTAAAGGTCTCCAGACCCTCTCAATCTGAGTCTCTAGCGGGCGACTAACCTCCACCGGAGTAAACAGATTGAGGCCCTAACGAACCAAACCTCCACTACCGAATTGAATTCGGTACAGAATAGCGAATTGGCTCCTCGACTAAAGTCGCTAATTCACTACCTTCAATTAAGGATACTCTATCAACCTAGGCAGATATTCTCATTCTAGGTCAAAGCAGAAACAACAGGAATTTGATCAGGATTCAAGTCATTCAATCATTCAAACCTCAATCGAATATAATCAGTTCATAAACTCTGTACTTGGGTTCATACAATCATACCTAGCATACAAATCTAGGGTTCTCCATACCCAGATGAATGGGGAAACTACTCCATAGAGAAAGAAGCAAAAGCAGATTCAGACGCGAAAATCATACTATGAAGATGGATTTCTGCTCCTGGACGTTAATCGGCACTTCTCCAAGCTCAAGCCGGGCTCCAATGGTGATGAAGATCAAGCTATGACACTTGGGAACTCTGGTTCGTCGCTTTCTCTCTCTAGGAATTGCTCTGTCGCGATACTCGGTCGAAATACCCGGTCGGGTATTTTGGGTATCGACCGGGTATTATTCAAAACGCGCATTTCAGTAGAGGGAAAATCCCCGGTCTGCTCCAATAATCCCCGACCGGTAATTTTACCTTCACGCCCGAGCCCCTCTCTGATTCTCACGGGGCGCCCAAAATGATAATACCCGGCCGGGTATTATTGGTCATGGCCGGGTATTTTCCTTCAGCAGCCCCCTTCGTCCCAACTTTGCACCTTTCGACCCAGAACTCGTTTCTCCGCCTCGATTCCAACGTAGGGTCCTGAAATATGACATAAACACACAACCTAGCGTGAAATCGGCTTAAAACACGAGAATCCACATCTCAAACGGCTTCAGAATAGGGGTGAAAACATATGTAATTATCGGTCTATCACCTTATGTACGGAGGGGTTTGCAGCGTTAATCCGACAGGCTTTGGAAAACCGATCATTAGCTGGTCTGCGCATTAGTCCAAGATGTCCAGTTGTTACACATTTGTTCTTTGCAGATTACTCATACCTATTCCTTCAAGCTTCACCAATGGAGTGTGAGACGCTAGTTTCTCTCCTAAATCGGTATGAGATGCTTAGTGGCCAGAAGGTTAACTTAGCTAAGTCTGCAGTATGCTTTAGTCGTAATATTCTAGCGCCGGATGCGGATGTCTTGGGGCGAATCCTGGGGGTTGGTACGATTGCTGTGACTGATCAGTACCTTGGACTTCCTTCCTTGGTGAGTCATTCTAAGATGGAGACGTTTCGGTATTTCGAGGAACGGGTATAAGCAGACTTCAGAGATGGAAGCAACGGTGTCTTTCGTGGGCGGCCAAGGAGGTTCTTATTAAAGCTGTGGCAAATGCCTTGCCTGTCTATGGGATGTCGTGCTTCATGTTCCCTGTCTCGTTGTGTCGGTCTATGGATAGACATCTGGCTGGTTTTTGGTGGGGAGTGCAGCATGGGGAAAGGAGGATCCATTGGGTTTCTTGGAAGACACTATATATGAGTAAACATGAAGGCGGGATGGAATTTCGACGTTTTGAGGAATTTAATCACGCACTGCTAGCGAAATTGGCTTGGCGTCTTTGGAAAGAGCCCAATTCACTGGTGGCACGCTTGCTGAAAGGAAAGTTCTATCCTCGTACGTCTATTCTCGAGGCCTCTCCTGGCTCTCTCCCTTCTTGGGGATGGCGTGGGATTCTTCATGGGAGAAATTTGTTGCGACAGGGTTTGTGTTGGCAGGTGGGATCGGGCGCAATGGTGGATGTTCTTCGTGATACTTGGGTGCCTCGGCTTCATCCATGCCCTCCTCGGGCTCGGCAAGGGATTGTTAGGGTGGATGGGATGGTGTCCTCATTGATTCAGCCCCAACAGGGGGCATGGAGGATGGATTGTCTACGTCAAATATTCGAGAAAGACACGATTCGGACAATTGCGGCTATTCCCCTGCCTATTGATCATGTTCCTGATCGCTTGGTTTGGATTGGGGAGGCTTCGGGTGTGTATTCCGTTAAGTCGGGGTACCATTTAGCTTCTCAATTGTGGCGAGAGAAGGAATTGGTGAATAAGCAAGGGGTGGTTCCTTGGGACCGTGGATTATGGAAGAGGGTCTGGTCCGCATCCTTGCCTCCGAAATTGAAGTATTTCATATGGCAACTAGTGCGCCGGTTTTGCCGACAGGGGAGGCACTTAGTGTGAGGGGGGTGGATGGTGTGCGCGATTGTCCGGTGTGCGGGGAGGAGGAGGAGTCTCTTGCATACCTCTTCTTCCGCTGCAGGGTGGCCCAGGGGGTCTGGGGAGGGACTGGTCTTGATGGGGTTCATGAAAGTTTTCCCTAGGATCACATGGCAACTTTCTGGAGATGGTTCCTCGAACAGGATAATTTGGATGGTCAGGTTTTAATGCAGGTCGTGGCCCTGTTTTGGCGGATTTGGAAGGCGCAAAATTGGGTGGTGTTTGACTTTACTCTATACACCATACCTGTTTTGCTTTCTCAATTTCGTTTGCAGGTGGTGGAATGGGAGGTGGCGAATGAGGCGCATCCGGTCGGGGATGGTGGGGGTGGCATGACCGGGCATTTCGGGGTTCTTAATCAGGTTCTCAGCCCGGGCCTTTGGGTGGTTCGGGTTGATGGGGCTGTGAGATGCGGGTCTCATGGTGCTGGGGGTTGGGTGTTACAGGATCCGTTGGGAAGAGTGGTGACTGCGGAGGCGAGGCTATACGAGTTCATTGAGGATCCTTTCCTTGTGGAGCTGTTGGCTTTCAGGGATGCGATGCGATGGTGTCTTGCACGGGGCTTGACAACGATTCTTTTTGCGGGGGATGCTAAGGTCGTCATTGACAAGCTTTTGGCAGGATTGACCGGAGATACCCGTGGAGGGACGATTCTTGAGGAGATGATGGTGCTTCGTCAATCCTTTGTGCATTTCTCTGTCCAGTTTGATGGTAGGCGTTGTAATAGGGTTGCCCATTTGGTGGCACGAAAATCCATTTCATTGTTCGCTTCTTTAGTTGGGTTCGATTTTGTTCCGTGGCTGTTTTCGGTCATTTGAACTCCTTTGTATCTGGCTGTTTTCTCGATAATACGAGCGATCGTTTTGATAAAAAAAAAGTCTTCGATTAGCGTATGTATTAATTAAAACGATAAAAACTATTCATCCTAAATTCACTCAGAATGCTCGAAATTTAGAATAAATCATATTCTCATGAATAGATGAGAATAATCTCTTTATATTAGTGTTAGAATCTCTATTCCTGTTGAGACAATTAGGGACTAAGGAGAGTAAGATTCTGGACAAAACCCGATTATTTTGGCTCACAGCTTGAACACCTTTAACCCAGGCCCAATGAAAGCCCAACAGAAATAGACCTTCGTCTTCAGCATTTTTCGGTGGCCTAGGTATATAATGCCATTGTCGTGGCCCGTGGGACACTTTATCAGAGCCATTTCATCAACGCAAATAACTAGAGATCAGAATCGTTAAACTGATAGATGACCATAACCCACATAACAAACAGGACAATCTAGCTAGCCAGGCAGCCATTACATTACTGAGTTCATGGATGAAACCCCATTAACAAAGAACCCTAAAGGGTAAACATTAATAGCCAGCGAAGGAGGGAATCTAAAAACCGAGATCGGAGTCGGAGTTTTCTTAACAACACTCAACACAAGCTACTTCTACTAATTTTGATTAAGCTTTCTCGCTACAAAAACGAAGGCGACGGTGGGGGGAAACTTCTATCTAGCTAGCTGGTCAGTACTTGGTACTTGGTAGCCTGCTCGGCAGTAGCGTCTTTCGCCGCCGGCAGGGGCTGACGAGGGCCGTCTTGCCACTTCCTTTTGAGTCGCTGCAAGTAGTGAAAGGTCGCTCGGGCAAATATCACTCCGACCTGGGGGGAAAAAATATACAGACGAGAAAGGTCATAAAGATTGGTCGACCGAAGAAAGAAAACAGAGAGAGAGAGAGAGAGAGAGAGAGAGAGAGAGAGAGGGGGTGGGGAGAATTAATTACAAGGTTGAGGAGGTGGCCATAGGGAAAGGAATAGCGGCGGTAGCCTTCGCGAGCGAGCCAGAACGAGCCACCGTAGGCAGCCACCTCCAGGAGATCGATCAGAAACCCCTTCCAAACCCACGTCCAGAAAACCATTGTTGATCTCGCTCGCTGCAAAATGAAAGAAAAAAAGGGCTCTCTCTCTCTCTGTCTCTAGACTCTCCCCTTGGAGGCTGCTTTCGATTATAAAGGGGAAGAAATCCCCCGGAAAGAGTAAAAACAGACAGGTGGCGGGCAGGGTTAATTTGGTCTTTATCGCCCAGCCGGCAGCCAGCGTAGCGCGTGCGTCAGAACTCAGAAGTTTTTAATCAAATGCTATGCAGGTCTGAAATTTGGTCCTTTTGGTTTTTTGGCTGTTTGTGAGATTTTATACCTGAGCTGAACTGACCTGAATAAGGAACGAAAACTCTGAATTCCAGCCGATTGGGGAAGGTCGAGAGTCCATTTGCCATGTATAGTATAATGATGCCCAAATTGTTTTTTTTTCTTCCCGTGGCGATGATGCCTTATTTCCTTGCGAATGAACCAGAACCCATCAGCTGATTAGTTGATCTCTAACCAAGCGCAACTGAAGAAAAACCCTATGCCAGTTGTTTTTCAGTCCGTTCTCAAGTAATATAGAGCAGTTTTTTTTCACTCCGTTCTCAACTAATAATCAAAAGATTGTAAAATCATATAGAAGGTTGTAGAGGATGAGTCAGCATTTGAGTATTTTGTACTTAAATTGTGATTCAACTGTTTCATATAACGATAAAATCCTACATTAACAAGAGCTCCATATATACTATTTTTCATGTTTGACAACCGGCACAATACGATGTAACAAACACATATAATAATGATGTACTGCGCAAATCGCTCGCACTAGCCTCAACAAACGATGGTGTTTCCATGAACTCTAAGATTGTGTTTGGACAGATGTATTTTAAATGCATTTCGTAAGCCTTTAGCATCCTTTGTGAAAAGGCTTGCCGATATATTTTGTAATTTCTTTTCTAACAAGCCCCCATCAAACTCAAACTAACAAGAGATCGAGTGAGCGACGAGACTGACTTAAATTGGAAAGTCAAAGTTGGGTTTGATGGGGGCTTGTGAGTTATTCAAGAGTGAGGAACAAACAAAGTACATGTGCTATATTTAAATAATTTTAAATTTTTGTTGTTTCTCGGTATTTTGATCATTGATATACACCGATCTCGATCCCATAATTTCGAGTACTAAATAACAACGACAAATTCGATACGGTGTATGATATATTCCAAATACCGATACCAAACTTCCAATCATAGGATTTAGGATGCTTGTGTTCTCTCTAACCATTGATCGATCAACTCCCCAACTAGAAAGATGTAGTTGCAATGGAAACTCCACCAATGATGCTAGTCAATTAACTTACATGACATTTTTTTGTGACTACTACATAAGCAGCACCAATCTCTCCAACAAAATCAACTACCGTATTTGCTCATGCTTGGATAGAAACAAAAAACTATCTAAACAAGAACTTCTGTGCCTACATTTCACTACAAGAAATAGAGTATTTTGCGACCATTCTTTGCGACCATTTAAGCAGGGGCGGAGCTATGTAGGCTCTCGGGGGGCCCCGGCCCCCCCGAGAATTTTAAAACTTATGTATAAAGTCGTAGAAAATTCAGATAATTACGTATAAATTTAATGTAGCGTATAGATAAAACCGATTGAAGAATTGTTGCCATGATAGGTTACGGCCTAGCGGAGATGGTGTTTTGTTACACCTAAAGGGTAACAGTTTCGATCCTGGGAGGCGGCAATTTTAATCTTACTATTTTTTTTTCCTAGTTAAATCTATTAATTTTCCTGCTTTGTCTTATAAACCTTGCTTTTTCTTGAATTTCTACATTCATATTTTCAAGGAGTTTTCTTTGGATAATTAATTAATTTATACAAACATTAATATAATCATAAAATCATATTCAATGTATAATAATATGGAAAAACTTACATGATACTTTTTCCATAGTATAATCATTTACTTTGAGCATAGCATAGTAGAAAAACTTTAAATTAATTCTATTTTGAGTTCTTTTGATTATTTTAATTAATGTTATACGTTATATACGTTGTATATATCTTTATTTTTCAGTATTTTGGCGATAATGTGCTAAGTTATTCCGGCCCCCCCGAACTTTAAATCCTAGCTCCGCCCCTGCATTTAAGATTGTGGTCGCATATGATATAACCTTCCGCGACCAAAATTTAACATAGGTCGCGAATAATCAAATTTTAGAAAAAACAAATTTGGCGGGTTCGCTGTAGGGAGGCGGGAATATGAAAACATTTTGGCGGCCATCCTTTTGTTTTCTGCGACCATATATTTGGACGCGAAATAATAAATTCTTGCAACCATTTATTTTTGTCGCAGAAACAGGAAATGAATACAATTATAAAATTTAATAATAAAAAGGAAAAGCGGATATAGTTCAGCGACCACTTTTAGCTCCCAATCCGGCGACGTCTTGTACATAGGAGTCATTTATCCCAAGCCCCAACCTCCACTTCTCTCCGAATTCTAGGGTTAGAAAGGGGGATTCTCTGACCTTTCTCATCTGGTCCTTCTTCCTCCATCCCCCTCGGCGTTGGCGACGTATGAGCTTCCGAGAAGCGAACTCGATTTCATTCCAGTTGCTGCCTCCTGACCACGAACTAGCCTTCTGCCACCATCCAAGCTGATCCCCGAATTCGTTTGTTGTATTTGTCGACAAGTTGAGCCCACAAGTTCTGATTCAACTCAGCCACATTTGCACAACATAAATCCGATTCTAATCAGTCATAAATCCCTTCAGGTTTGTCGATATCTCCCTAGTCTTTGTACCCTTTCTGTTTCATCTTTGGATCTGCTAATGAGAGGATTTTATTCCCCCTGCTTTTCCCCTGCTCGGTTGCTCCCCTGTGTTTTTTCTGTGTTACAGTATCACGATGCAAATATATAATATGTTGAGGGTTTGTTATTATATGATTTCTTAAGAGTTAGTGGAGGGTTTGGCTTGGATAACTCCTTTTGTTTATGAGTTTTAGCTCGCTGCATAATGCTTACTGCAACTATAGTGACTTTGCTTCTTATTGGTTGGTTTATGGTTTAGATTATGTGGTTAATGATGCTTGTGTGGTGAAAGAATTCTGAAATTATTGCTATAATCTTGCAGACTCAATCTAGCCACATTTATCGACTTAGAGTGGCTTTGTTGTTTTGCTTTTTAGTCAACTCTTATATAGGCAAGGAGGCTGTTGAACCAAGTTCAGTCATTGTTTTTTGCTTTATATCTGTTATATAGTTTAATTTGGACCAACTAATGATGATAGTAATTTGTGAAAATGATTATAAAATTTAGCTTACCCCCTTTATTTTCTGCTAGCACTCTCATCTCCTTCCTTTAACTTTGTTTGTTCTTTTCTTCTTCTTTGAATTAATTAGGCAAGGTAAATGGGAGACATAGAGGGGTGGAGGAAGTGGGTAGTGATTATGTGTCGCTTGAAGGAAGGAGGGGGATAAATGGGTTGTTCTTTTGGATCCCACTCTTAATAAAGTACTCTTTCTTCCTTCCAAAACTCAATAGAGATTCCAATGGAGGGAGCCCTTCTTCCTTTGCTTTGCTCTTTTATTTTGCCCATCTTTGTGCTCATTTTCCTTTTTGCTTGTCTTCTCTAATTATTGCTTTTTTTTGTATGATTTTAAATTTGTCTTATTCTTCTCTAATTCCAAATCATCTAATGGCCTGTTATATGTTTTCATGGTGCTAGTGTAGCGTAATCAGCTCCACTCCTTCCCCATCTTCCATTCCCTGTGTATTTTTATGTATGTTTGTGACAAAATCCAATCTTTCTTTTAGGCGAGAATAATGGTACCAGGTCCTCTCAAAATAAAGAAGTCGGCGGCACTTTGTATTATTTGGTAGACACTTTGTGTGAAGAATCAGAAAAATCGAGCTAATGTGAAGAATTTGCATTGTAAAGGAAGTTCTTTTGCCCCCATGTACTATTAGCAGGTAGCTTCTATCTTTTGCATTGTAGTATGTGTACTTGTGTGAGCTGCTAAGTATTTATTATGTGCTATTATGTTATACCAACAAAGATTACTAAGAAAGACGGTGGTATCAACAACAAAATTGAGATGTTCGAGTTGACTAGAATCAATAAAAGAGGGGATTGGGTCAATCAACACACGAAAAAAACTCATGTAAGTTTAATTATATATCCAATTACTATGCTTCTTTATTGGTTTATTTTCTGCTGTTTGATTGTTGTCCATGTTGTATTCTTCTCTTCTGTTTGGTTGCTGCCCATGTTTGTCTTGCATTGTCTCTCTGTTTTCTAGTTACGTTGGGTCATCTCTTGCTTCACTTGTAAATACTAATATAACTAAGCTATCACTAACGGTGGCCAGACAAAATTGGTAGAGAAGGTGGCTACCAGCAAGAATGTGGCAAGCATTATGCAACAACTTTGTAGTAGTGGTATTAATATCAGCCTAGTGACTGGTAAGCAATCTCCATTCCATTATACCTTACATATTTGGAACTTATGAAGAACCTTTGGACTTGTCATGTAGTGGCTGTTTGTAGCGTTCTTTTAATTTCTTGTGTTGCTTTTTCTTCCATTCTTGTTGCTGGTACAATGGTTTTCTTAGGAGGGTATTATTATTTTTAGTGGATGGTTGCTGTTTTTGTAACTGATTGTGATAACCACTATTGAGAAGCATGAGGAGAGAAAACAAGTTTTCTCTTGCCGTTAGTATGAATGTGATATGGTCATGATGTTGCATTCTGATTGTTGTAATATTTTCCTCCTTGTTCAATATCTTGCCTCTCTACTTTCACTCCTTTATTTGCTATGTTAGATGGTTGATATATACTAGTTACTTATAGAGATAATATGTTCATTGCAGGTTAATCTCCATGCAATTGATGGAAAGTTCTAGGTCGGAAGAATTTTGGGAATTGCTACTTGTAGAGTTAGATAATGGCTTGTAGACTATGACTAGTTGATTATGTCAACGTCGAAGTACTTTGTCAACACAATGAACAATGAAATATATGGTAATTATCTTTAGTAATGTGATTGCATTATTGTGGCATGTTATGTTATATACAAGCATGTCCGTTTCCCAGGTTGAGGGACCAAATCATTATTCCCAATCAAGATTCATGATTTGCGTCCAATAAAATGGTCGCAGAAAGGTTAGATTCTGCAACCAGAACTTGTGGTCGCTATAAATTAAAGCATTCGGCGACTACGTATTTGGTCGCAAAAGTAATTTTTGGCGACCAGAACGAACCCTTGGCGAAATATGTAACTGTTTGGCGACCCTATAAATGGTCGCCTAAAAGCCTTTCGGCGACCATTTTGAAGTGGTCGTAAATACTCAAGGTTTTCACGTCCAGCTATAATGGTCGCTGAATAAAAATTTACCGCGACCATTTCCTGAAAGTGGTCGCAATTATCTTTGCCGACGGCGTATATACGACCATTTCGGCGACGAACAATTATGGTCGCAAAAAACTTTGGCGACCACTTTTACAGTTATTGCGACCAGATTTCTTGGTCGTGAAATGCCATTTTTGTTGTAGTGTTTTGACGTTGTATGGCACAAGCCAAAATCCACCAGAGCCACCTTGAAAATTGTTTGTAATATTTGCACCTGAACATTCAGCCACCGCTACTGTACTTTATTATTGGAGCAAGTCCATTACTTATAGCTCAAGGTTTTTTTTTTTGGTAGAAATCAAGTTTCCTTTTGATGAATGAAACTAAGTTTATATTTGGTCACCAAAAATATTTGATTCCATTCGTGGTCATTAAATTTAGTTTACTATTTCGAGTTTGGTTACTCTCCGTCTAAGTCCGTTAACTTTTGCTGATGTGGAAGTCAACTCTTGTGATTGATAGTTAAATGAGTGACGGGGCAATTAAAAATATATAAAAAAATAAAAATAAAATTTTACAATTTCCATATAATTTTTCATAATAAACTAAAAAAAATAAAACATAAATAATAATAATAATTATTTGTTATTTTACCATTCCTCACCGGAGAACCCCTCTCGGAACCTTTTCCTCCCTCAGAAACACTCGCCGACCACAATTCCGTTACTTCCCAAAACTCAAACTAACTCAGAAACCCGCCAGAACTCTAATTCACTATATCTCATTCCTCCAAGACCCCAACCCTACACGCTAATTCATTCATTATCCATTTCCCCTTTTTCCCATTGGTTTTTCCAATTTCAAAAAGACAAATTCGGGTAGTGACAAATACAAGGTCAAACTCTGTCTACTTCTTCCATTTCCCCGACCTTATTATAATCAAACCTTCCACGGGTTAATTGTATGGTTGGTCACTGAGATTACAAAAAACGTTCATGTTTGGTCACTGGAAATATTTAAATCCAACCTTGGTCACTCAAATTAGTTAAATGGTTCAAATTTGGTCACTCTCCGTCCAACTCCGTTAAATTTGTCTGATGTGGCAGTCAACCCTCAAAGTTGACCGTTAACTCGGTGACGTGGCAATTAAAAAATAATAAATAAAATAAATTTGAGGTTTGACTGAGAGTGACCACCGTCATCCTCGACGACCTCGTCTACGCCGGCAGCGTCAACCCCGACTACTTCGACTTCCACCGCTACACCACCCTCGACCCTTACGTCGATGACCTCCTCAACATCCTCGATGCCCACAGCGGTCGCCGAATCTTCGCGTCTCTCTGAATCTGAAATTTTCTTTCCTTTCCTTTTCTTCTCCCACAATATAAAACCGCTTTCTTCTTCTTCATCGGCTCAAAATCCCATCCGTCGCTGCTCACCTGACCTGGGCCAGTCTCTCTCTCTCTCTCTCTCTCTCTCTCTCTCACTCAATGCTCCACCCTGAATCCGCCTGAAAAAGAGAAAAACCCAGAAGCAAAGAGAAATAGAGCTGAGCTTGGATTTGGGTCTGATCCATGTCTCCAAAACCGGCGCCGAGTGTCTGAAAGAGGTCGCCAAAGTCAAGGATGTTGGTCAGAAGCTGTCCAGGCTTGACGATTACGTCAACAGATTGGAAGATGAGCGCCGGAAGATCGAGGTCTTCCGCCGGGAGCTTCCTCTCTGCATGCTCCTTTTGAACGATGGTAACACGGGGATCTCATTTCGCTTTCTCTTCCTTCTGCTGTTACTTTTTTTGTTGGGTCTGCTCCATTCCTTCTCATCTCTTTTGTTTTTTGTTGGGGGGTTTCTTCTTTTTTGACTGCAGCGATTCTGAAATTGAAGGAGGAAGCGTTGCGTTGCAAGGAATTGAACGATCGAGCTGCTGCTGGTCAAGGAGATGGAGAAGAAGGGGAGATGATGAACAAGAAGAGCTGGATGGATTCCGTGCAGCTATGGAAAACTGGAGATTCCAACCTGGTCGAATCCGATTCAGAACCAAAACAGGTTAGATAATTGGCAGACTTGGGCTAAAGACTCTGGCTTTTCAATTGGGATTGGGGGTTTTGCTTTATTACATTTGGACCCAGATAAGAATGCTGATGTTTCACTTCCCCTTTTGATTGATCTAGGGTATTTTTCCTCTTTTGTAAAATTGAGCAGCAGAGAAGCGAAGTAGTCGAGGGTGGTGTAGCGGTGGAAGTCGAAGTAGTCGGGGACTCGGGGTTGACGCTGCCGGCGCAGACGAGGTCGTAGAGGATGACGGTGGTCACTCTCAGTCAACCCTCAAATTTGTTTTATTTATTATTTTTTAATTGCCACGTCACTGAGTTAACGGTCAACTTTGAGGGTTGACTGCCACATCAGACAAATTTAACGGAGTTGGACGGAGAGTGACCAAATTTGAACCATTTAACTAATTTGAGTGACCAAGGTTGGATTTAAATATTTCCAGTGACCAAACATGAACGGTTTTTGTAATCTCAGTGACCAACCATACAATTAACCCAACCTTCCACCTTCTTCTTTCCCTTTTAATGGATCAACCTTTTTCATACTCGTAAACCTTTCGCCTCTTGTGACATACGCCATAAAAAAATGGTGACTCCCATGCCTCTCTTCTCTCAAACTCCGGCATCGAAACCTCCCCAACAATCCACCCACTTCCCGGTCACTTCCGCTTCCACCGCTCCACCACTGCCGTCTCCTCTCTTATCTTCTCCCAGACCCGCCATGAAAATCCGCCCCACCAAATTTCAGAGCAGCAAGTTCGGGTCCTTCCTTGACGTGAAACCAGAGTCCTACCGGAACCCATCATATTCCCGAACCTCTCCCGGCACGACCAGACATCTTCGCCTCGATCCTTGCAATTCATAGGGCCGGTTATGAGATTTTGGAGGCCCTATTCCGTAAATAAAATGTGGCCCAAATTATTTTTTCTAAATATATAATAAAATATAAACAAAGTATCAATCGATAAATAAAAATCATTCCAATATTTAAAAATAATATCTATCTAATATGATTTGTAATAAAGAGAGATAGGGTATGCCTACTATGACATGCATGTCACCGTGACATGGACTTTTCGGTCGACCTAATCCTGAAGGCGGTCGACCGAATTGACTTATTTGGGCAGCACGAGAAAGCATTGCGGTCGACCTCAACGACCACGTGGTCGGCCGCACTTAGTTTAAGTTGTTATTTTCGGTGGAAATCACGCATTAGAGAAAATGACGGCGAATGCTACATTAGGTCGACCTCACCTTAGATGTGGTCGACCACTTTCGACACGTATAACAGCAACCGCGAACAATCTTCTTCACAAAGGCTCTAAATCGAAAAAAACCTGATTCGGACTTTTGGTGGCGTTGAAGGGGACTTATATTCGTATTTATAGAGATTTAGGACGTGAATGGGTAGACCTTTCATTCTGTTATACCACCAAAGAGGTCGACCATTTTATGTAGACGGTCGACCGCGTCTCTGAACCTCACAAAACTGAATTTGTCAATTCGGTCGACCGCCTTGTGGATTAGGTCGACCGAAAAGTCCATGTCACGGTGACATGCATGTCACCGTAGCAAAATCCAGAGAGATAATGATTTAAATAGTAAGATGTAATTAAAAAATTGATTATAATTTTATTTCAATCAAATAGTATGAAAAATAATATAATAAACTAAATTAGATAGTAGAAAGTGATAATGTTTTAGTCTAAAATTAACTATGGTACAAAATATTTATAATTGATTTAGTTATTTTTCATTTTCTACTATTGGTGGCTTGTACCTAATAATTCCGGTTAACATTTAATAAAATAATTTGAATTATTTAATTAATTTAACATTACTGCCTTGCTAGTACAAACAGATTAATTAACAACAAGAATTATTTTTCTCCGTGGAAATTTGGAAATGAAGAAACCTAAAACAACAAATTTAATAATGCTAATAATGAGGAATCACCAATCTTATATCATTATTATATTTAGGAAACACAAAAAAAAATGAGTTATGTTATATGGTTTGAAAAAAGTTTAATAATTTAGAAAGCAAGTTTTCCCCTTATGTGATATGTTCGTTCTTTTAGCCTCCAATCTTAAATTTTGTAATATTATTGTTTTAGACCCATAATCAAAACAAAATTCATAAATTTTATATTATTTAAAATTCATAATCGAAATCCAATAATCCTTAAATATAATTAGTCATATACGTGATGGAGGTACAGAGGCTCCCAAAATTTGGAGGCCCTGTGCCAAAGGGATTGCCAGCTAGGGATGTCAATGGGTCGCGTTGGGGAAGGGTAGTGTATATCGGTTACCCTACCCAAAGTAGTTCGGGTTTTACCCATGTCCATACCCATATAAGATTCGGGTAGAAAATCGAAGGTATGCCCATACTCGTTCATAAAAATATTATATTTACATGCTAAATATAAAATATGTTAGAGAAAAATATTGATTATTAGACAAAATACATATGTTTATGTGTAATCGGGCGGGTTCGGGTTGGATAGTGAGAAAACCATGTCCATACATTACCCACAATATTCGGGTTCGGGTTTTACTCGTACCCACTAAAAGTAATTCGGGTTCGGGTTTTACCCTACCCGATTAGGTAGAATTCGGACGGATATCCACGGTTACAGATATTTTTGCCATCCCTAGTGTCAGCACACCCTCTGGGTTGGCCCTGGCAATTCAACGTCATCATCATGGGCGCCGACGTCCGCCTCGCCGCTCTCCTCATGGTTATGAAAATTGGAAGAGAGGAGGGGGAGGGATGGGTTCCGGGTAGGGGTGGGCGTTCGGTCGGTTCGGTTCAAACCGAACCGAACTGGTATACCCCGAGTTTCCGAATCACATCATCCATCAACCGAATTCGAACCGAACTATTATTCGGTTCGGTTTGGCCGAACCGAATTATAGCTCGGTTCGGTTCGGTTTTCTACTCCAAACCGAAAAATGTATGGTCTGTCCATTTTTGTGCTTTTGTTATGTCTTTTGGTCGCTGGGCCAGATGAGAGAGAGATTCTTTTATTCTTTACCTTCTCTCTCTCTGCTCACCCCACCAACACAAGCTTTCCCCAATCTTCTTCTTCTTAACTTTTCTCTCTCTCTCTCGCCCAGCAAACAAGCTTCCCATCCCAATCCAAATCTCATTGCTCCTCACATAGTCTGGTATCACCACTCTATCTCCTCTCCCTCAAATATGTTACTCTCGTTTTATCCTGGTGGGTCAATGCCATCTATGGAGGAACGACAAGATCTCGGTGTGTGCGGACGGGCAGCGGCAGTAGGATTGCGGTGCTCCAATCCCACTGACAGGCGACGTTGAAGAGGGAAATAGGATCTAGGATCGGGTAAGCCATTCAACATGCATGTGGTTTCTCGATTGATTTTCAGTAGTGATTTTCGTGCATGTGGATTTTTATGTTTGGATTTGGGTTTATGGTGTCAGGGAGAAGGGAGCGGAGAGAGGATAAAGGGGAAAGGGGTCTCGACTTGAACTCCAGTGGCCGGCGAGTTTTCCTGGAGAAGAGAACAGAAAGAAGGGGGAATTCGACGACGTCTCTAAATTAGGGGCATCGACAAAGTCGAGAGATGAGAGGAGAGTTCAGCGACGCCTACGAGCGGTGGAGGAGACGGCAGCGGCGACGGCCATGTTGGTATTTTTGTTAGGGTTAGGTAAACAGCAGCCAGCAGACATGGAGTTGTGGGCTTAGAGATGGGTTGTGTTTGATTTGAGTGGGTTAGGTTGCAGACATGGAGGAGTTGTTGGTTGAGGGATTTAATTTTGGGCTGTTTAAATTTGGGCCGAGAGTTTTGGGTTTTGTGAGAGCCTTAAGTAGTTAGTTGGGTTGAAGATTGTGGGTTTAAGTTTTAGTTCGGTTTCTCGGTTTGGTCTTTCGGAATTCGGGTTCGGTCTGTGTACTCTGGTTTCCGAACTACAGCTTTTTGTCTTCCGAATTCCGAACCGAAAAATAATATTTCGGTTTCGGTTCGGTTAAGTTCGGTTTCGGGTCGGTTCGGTTCGGGTTTACCGTATTAGAGAAGAAAAAGAATAAAAACATTATAAACTGAAGCAAATCAATCTCAACTGTATCTCCTGTAAATGTGTATAAAACAGAATACAATAAACTGAAGCAAATCACATTAGATTGCTTTCAGATTTTCCTCTCAACAAATTCACTTTGCCAACATGGTATCAGAGCTAGCAACGATCAGCTAGTCGATCCAAACTTTTCCCTTCCTACGTCTCTTTCCCTGCTCGAAACTCTCTGTTTTTTTTTCCATTCTCTGCCTTCGCTATGTCTGGCGAATCTGAAATTCATGACAGCGCCCTCTCCCCCGCTGTTCCTGCTCTTGTGACCTTCAATCCTGCTGCCCAACTTCCATTGAAGTTGACTCCGTCCAATTTCGCCTCCTGGCGCTCCCAACTCGAGACTCTGCTTCTTGGTCTGGATCTTTATGGCTTTATTGACGGCACTACTGCCGCTCCTGATCGCACCATTACAGAGAATGGCGCTAGCACACCCAATCCAGCTTTTCAGCTTTGGTTCCGCCAGGACAAGCTGATACTTCATGCCCTGCGGTGTTCAATCTCGGAGTCCATCTACTCATTTGTTTCAGGCGCATCTACCTCTCGCGCCGCCTGGCTGATCCTGGAAAAACTCTACGCCAGCAGCGCCCAGTCCCGTATTATCCATCTGAAGGGGAAACTGGCCAAGACCTCCAAAGGCGATCGCGACATCTTGGCATTCGTGAGTGACCTGAAGAGCACAGCGGCGGAACTCGCCCTCATTGGCGCTCCTGTCTCTGATCTTGATTTAATTGTTTATTGCCTTCGAGGCTTGGGCGAGGAATATGGAGCTTTTGCGGCTGCGATTCGGGCTAGGGGGCCAGGTCTTGCTCTGGAAGATTTGGTCGATTCTCTGGTCGAGTATGAATCGGATCTCAAGGCGTTGCCCAAGACCTCTGTTCCCACTGCGCTCTTCACCCAGGGGCAGAGATATGGCGGCGGCGGCAATTCCTTCGATGGCGGAAATGGCACTACCTCCTTCGGCCGCAACACTGGACGCCAGCAGCGCGGCCCTTCCTCTCCGCGTGGGCCTTCATCTCCGCGTGGGCCGTCCTCTTCGCGGGCCGTCTCCTATCAGGCCCAGCCTGATTTCCCAAGATCTTCAGGGCCACAGGCCCATGATTACTCTTCTGGGCAGTCCCCCTCCTCTCAGCGCCGGCCCACTGTCATTTGCCAATTCTGTGATCGTCCGGGCCACTCCGTGAGACAGTGCTTCAAATTATTTCCTCAGGAACGCCAAGCATATCAAGCTCGTCAAACCCAGGCACATTATACCACTGCCCCTCGTGCCCCGCCGTCTGCCTCGTGGTTGCTTGATTCTGCGGCATCCCATCATGTTACTCCCGACCTAGGGAATTTATCCCTTTACTCAGATTATAATGGCCCTGATGAAATTCTCGTCGGTGATGGCACAGGTTTGAAAATTACACATATTGGGTCCTCTATGCTCTCTAATTGTGCTATACAATTACAAGATGTGCTTTGTGCTCCTGCCATTAAGCGTAAACTGATTTCTGTCGCCAAACTTTGTCGTACTAATCCCATTTCGGTGGAATTCTTTGCTGATTGTTTTGTTGTGAAGGATCTTCGCACGGGGGCGCCTCTGCTGAAAGGAGCAAATAATGGGGACGTTTACGAGCTGCCGCATGATGTGGACACCGTTCGCCTTGCTCTTGTCACCACCCGCACCTCTTCTACCTCGTGGCATGCTCGTCTTGGTCACCCTTCTTCTCATTCCCTCTCCAGTCTCCTTCGCACACATTCTTTGCCAGTATCTTCCTCACTTGTCAGTAGTCATTGCGATTCATGTCTTTCGAATAAGAGTCACAAACTCCCTTTTGGTGTTTCTTCCTTGTCTAGCACTAGACCTTTTGATTTATTGTACACGGATGTTTGGGGGCCTGCTCCGGTTACTTCCATTGATGGTTTTCGTTATTACTTGATTATCGTTGACCACTTTTCTCGCTATACATGGTACTATCCCTTAAAACGTAAATCTGATGTTCTTGATGTGTTTCTTGCCTTTCGTACGATGGTTGAAAATTATTTTTCCACTACCATTCGTCGTCTTTATTCTGATGGTGGTGGGGAATTCCAGAAATTAAGCTCCACGTTCCTTGCACATGGGATCAGTCATCTCCTTACTCCCCCCCACACACCTGAGCATAATGGCCTAGCTGAACGAAAACATCGTCATCTCGTTGAGACGGGTATTACTCTCCTTCATCATGCTCATTTACCTACCATCTTTTGGTCTTATGCCTTCTCGACTGCCGTTTACTTAATAAATCGGCTGCCTTCCTCAGCATTACGTGGCCAAATTCCTTACACTGCACTTTTTAATATTGTGCCCAATTATCATAAACTTCGCATATTTGGCTGCCTATGCTATCCTTGGCTACGACCATACTCGTCCCACAAACTTGATCCTCGCTCTCGTCCCTGCCTGTTCCTTGGTTACTGTCCTCAGCGGAGTGCGTACAAATGTTTTGATCCTCACTCCAATCGCCTTTTCCTCTCCCGTCATGTTCACTTTGTTGAAAATTCGTTTCCTGGCTATTTGTCTAACCCTTCTGCAGATTCCTCCTTAGTGACCTCTTGGATCACAGAGACTGGGCCCACTATCACCAAAATTCCATTTCATGCGGCAACACCCCCTGCTCCTTCAGTACAGGCCCCCCCTGGCGGCGGCCCTTCACATCCGACATCAGCCACTGGGCCGACCCAGTCCGCTGGCCCATCTGTGCATCTGCCGGGCCCATCTTCTCCTGCCGGGCCCCCGCCCTCCTGTACACCTGGCCCACTGCCAGCCTTCGGCTCCCTCCCGACTCCTCAGGCCGTCCGTGGCCCCGTTCCCTCTACTGGGCCGGCCCAAGTCGAGGCCCCTTCCTCGCCTCGCCCCAATGTGCCGCAGCCCTCTGTTCCACCGCCCCTACAGCGCTCCCATCGCATGCAAACCAGGGCCCAGTCGGGCATTCATAAGCCCAAGCGGCTTTTTCCTGCTCTTTTCACCACCCGGTCTCCACCCCTTGAGCCTCGCTCTGTCAAAGAGGCTATGCAGTATGCTGAATGGGATTCTGCTCTTCGCCAGGAACACACTGCTCTTCTTCGGAATCACACTTGGGACCTGGTTCCTCGCCAACCTCACTTCAATGTTCTGGGTAACAAGTGGGTCTACCGGATTAAGCATCACTCTGACGGCTCTATAAATCTCTTCAAATGCCGTCTTGTTGCAAAGGGGTTTCACCAACGCCCTGGCGTGGATTTTCAGGATACTTACAGTCCCGTGGTCAAACCGGTTACCGTCCGCACGGTCTTCACCATTGCTCTCTCCCATAACTGGCCCATTAAGCAGTTTGATGTCAACAATGCCTTTCTTCAAGGGCCGCTTGATGATGAGGTATACATGGTTCAACCCCCTGGCTTTATTGATCCGTTATATCCCAACCATGTTTGCAGACTTCGTCGTGCTATCTATGGCTTGCGCCAGGCCCCTAGAGCTTGGTACACTGCTCTCAGTTCCTTTTTGATTGAGTTTGGCTTCCGCAAGACAGAGTCTGATGCGTCTCTCTTCGTCTATCACAACTCCGGCGTTATTCTCTACTTTCTGGTCTATGTGGATGATCTTTTACTCACAGGAAATGATGCTGCCACTCTCTCGGCCTTTCAGCTCGCCCTAGCTCACCGGTTTTCCCTCAAGGAACTTGGAGATGTGAATTACTTTCTGGGCATCGAGGTTATTCCCACAGCGACAGGTTATATTCTCTCCCAACACAAGTACATGACCGATATCCTCACTCGCTTTCATATGTTGGATGCTGCTCCTGTCTCCACACCACTCGCCTCCACTGTCTCTTTGACACTTCAGGATGGCACTAGTCCCACTGATGCTACGCGGTTTCGGCAAGTGCTGGGTGCTCTCCAGTATCTCGTCTATACCCGTCCTGACATTGCATTCGCCGTCAACAAGCTCTCCCAGTACATGCATTCCCCATCCTCCCATCATTGGCAGTGCCTCAAGAGATTACTTCGCTATGTTTGCGGTACTATCTCCTACGGCTTGGCTATCCGGCGCTCCTCCCTTCCTATGCGAGTAACGGCATTTGCTGACTCTGACTGGGCCGGCAACCTTGATGATCGCACCTCCACTTCAGCCTATCTAGTATACTTGGGCTCCACTCTCATTTCCTGGCGTTCTCAGAAACAACGGACCGTTGCTCGTTCCAGTACTGAAGCAGAATATCGTGCCATTGCCCATGCGACAGCTGAACTAGAGTGGGTTCGCAATCTATTGCAGGAACTTCATCACCCTCTCAGTGAGTCTCCTACTCTACTCTCCGACAATCTGGGCGCCACTTGTTTCTCCGCCAACCCGGTGTTTCACTCTCGCATGAAGCATTTGGCTCTCGACTATCATTTTGTCCGTCAGCTTGTTCAGTCTGGCCGCCTCACTGTCCGCTATATACCGACAGCGCAACAACTGGCTGACATGCTCACCAAGCCTCTCCCCGCCTCTCGGTTTACACTTCTCAGGTCCAAGATTGGAGTCGTTGACACCTCCTCCATCTTGCGGGGGCGTATTAGAGAAGAAAAAGAATAAAAACATAAAAAACTGAAGCAAATCAATCTCAACTGTATCTCCTGTAAATGTGTATAAAACAGAATACAATAAACTGAAGCAAATCACATTAGATTGCTTTCAGATTTTCCTCTCAACAAATTCACTTTCCCAACATACCGAACCGCATGCCCACCCCTAGTTCCGGGGGATTTTCGTTTTGGTAGAGGGTGATGAATTAGTGCATATATGAGAGTTCCGACGGGGTTTTTGAGGGAGTTTTGGTTTTAAGGAGGTATTGCGCCTGGTGAGCATTTCTGAGGGAGGAGGTTCATGGACGGGTGGCCAGGAATTTATCCGATAGGGAAAATCTCAATTTTGGTATTATGATTATTAATTCTATTTTATTTATTTAATTCATCGGGAAAGATGATGTGGAAATATTAATAATATTATATTATTTTTATTGTCAAGTCATTCATTTAACGGTCAACTATGAGAGTTGACCGTCACATAAGTTTAAGTAAACGAAGTTGGACGGAGAGTGATCAAACTCGAACTATTGGACTAATTTTAATGATTGCGAATGGAATTAAATATTTTAGTGACCAAACATGAACATTTTTTGTGAACACAATGAGCAAACTTGCAATTAACCAACCATTTCTATTTCTTCTAATTCAATTGTAAGCAAAGCTTCTATCTGTTGCAAACTTCAAGAAGGGAAAAGGTAGAAAGAGATCAAACCCTAACGGTGGTTACAAGTTCGGGGGAAGGGTTCCATGAAGATGAAAGCGGAGTGAGTAAATGCGTCTACTAATTATAGAGGTAAAGCCCAATTATGTGGGCCAGAGCCTGAAGACCTTAGCCCAAGTCTAGTAAAAGCCGAATAGAAATAGACTATTCTTTCTCAGAGCCATTGTCATTTGTATACTTTCGCAGAACCATTTCAACAACGAATATAATTAGAGAAGGTCGTTAAACTGATAGATGATAAACCCACATAACAAAGACAACAAGCTAGCTAGGCAGCCATTACATTACTGAGCTCGTGGATGAAACCCCCATTAACAAAGAACCCAAAGAGGTTACCATTAACAGCCAAAGAAGAAGGGATCTAATTAAAAACGGAGAACGAGTGGAAGTTTTCTTAACAACAGTTAACCACACAAGCTACTTCTACTAATTAATCTTCATTAAGCTTTCTCGCTACTACAACGAAGGAGACGGAAACGACTAGCTAGCTAGTCAGTAATTGGTGTCCGGCTGGGTAGTAGCGTCTCGCCGGCGACGGCGGCAGGGGCTGACGAAGTCCTTGCCAATTCCTTTTGAGTCGCTGCAAGTAGTGACTGATCGCTTGGGCGCAGATCACCCCGACCTGGAAAAAAAAATACAGACGAGAAACATCACAAAAATTGGTTTACCAAACAAAGAAGACTCAAAGAGAGAGAGAGAGAGAGAGAGAGAGAGAGAGTTACAATGTTGAGGAAGAGCCCATAGGCAAAGGAATAGCGGCGGTGGCCTTCGCGAGCGAGCAAGAACGCGGCACTGTAGGCAGCCACCTTCAGAAGATCAATCAGAGTCCCCTTCCAAACCCACGCCCAGGACACCATTGTTGATCTCGATTGCTGCAAAATGAAGAAAAATGGCCTCTCTCTCTCTCTCTCTCTCGCTAACAATATTGGAGATGGCAGAGCAGAATTTTTACTTGCTCTCGTTCACCGGCTCCTTTCGATTATAATATAGGCAGAGAAATCCTCCGGAAAGGGTTAAAAGCGAACAAAGAGTACAAGACAGGTGGCGGATAGGGGTAATTTGGTCTTCATCTCCCAGCCAGCGTAGCGTGTGTCAGAAGATTTTAATCAATTGCATACAGGTCTGAAATTTGGTCCTTATCGTTTTTGGCTGTTTTGTGAGATTTTATTCGTGAGCTGAACTGACCTGAATAAGGAACGAAAAGTCTGAATTCCAGCCGATTGGGGAAAGTCGCTAGCTGCTTTTGCCACGCATAGTAGATAAGAATATATCGTAATTCGTATATGGGAATGGGATGATGCCTTATTTCCTTCCTTGCGAATGAACCAAAACACCCATCAACTAATTAGTTGATCTGTAAGACTGTAACTGAGCGCAACGGAAGGAGAGAAACCCCCTACACCAATAGTAGTTTTTCACTCCGTTATCAAGTAATAATCGAGGAGGATTGTAAAACAATATTAGAGGTTGTACTTGATAAGTCGGATTAAGAAGAAAATATGACAGAAACTGATTTTACTTACATTCGACAAAAAGATCTAGCAACGGTACTGCAGGAATCCAAATCCTAACCCTACTATTGTTAGGCCGCCGGCCCCCTACTCCGACTACTAAGCAACACAAATGCTAATCGAGTTCTTACCATTAATCCCACGCAAGCACATTCACACAATACGCCCATGTTCAAGCGCAAGTATTCGTCTTAACAATCTCCGTTACTTCCCATGCCCAAGAGTGGGGGAACATCGGCAACGGATTCGTTTTTCAAAAAGGTCCCACGGCCACCACCCAAGTACGTACTATGTGGGTGCTTTTCTCATGCACATTTCATCAAACATCTAATAGGCATTACGCCCCCTTCCCACGAAATCAAAGGATCATCCCGCTTCTTTGAGACTAACATGTTCAACTCACAGTAATCATATTCTCCATGACATCGACATTACACACTGCCCGACCGGGTCCATAAATGCATAAACTAATTAATCTAGAGCACATCTACAAGAACCCTAGAAATTGAAGGAAAGCAAATCTAAAACGGGGAACAGAGACCTTCTTACTAAAGAAGACTACCTGTTACATACTAATCACTAGCTAGCTTCTGGATACTACGTACGATAAAAGAGACGGGACACAAAGTTACTGATCGGGACGACTCGTAATTAGTTCTTCGTAGTAGCAGCAGCAGCAGCTGGTTCGGAGCAAGTGCATTCACTGGGCTTAGGCAGCACCGCCTTCTCCAACTGGCCCAAGAATATGAAAGTGATTGTGAGACAGAGAGCGATGACCTGAATTAAAGGGAGGAGTAGAAGATTAAAAGTAAATCCTCGGTGACCGGCCGGGAAATATGAATCGGCGACCGGAGGAAACACAAAAAATTAACAGAGAGCGTATAGGTAGGGATAAGGTCTTACTATAACGCGCAATGTCAAAGAGAGCTCCGAACAGCTCTCGCGAGCTAAGTAGTACACGCCGGCGATGGCGAAGATCTTGAAGAAATCGAATCCCAACTTCCTCCAGAATCCCATACCTGCTGCTGATCGCTGCTACAATGCTCCTTCTCTCTCCTCTCTCTTGCGAATGACAAAGCTACACGGATCCTAAGATTTTTATTTTTTTTATAATAAAAAGGGAGAGAGGAGGGCATGTTGGTCTCTTTGGTGCTACCTGCCAAGCTAGCTATCTATGATCCGAAGGGTTTCTAATAAGACCGATTAGACATTTCGTAGAAAAGGGAATATTTGTAAGAGATAGCATTAGAGCCAATGAGCCATAAACAGACAGACATTACAAGAAGGATTGATGTGATATTGCCGCTAGACTATGTTAATGGGCCGTTTATTTGTCATTCCATTTCTGTTAGCTGCCACAACAGAAAACAAAATTAAAATGAAAACGAAGCTGTCATTTCCTGGAAAACAAAACCTGAAAAAACCTTGTTTAGCTGAGAATTTTGGTGAGTTCTGAAACTGAGTTCTGAAATGAAAACCTGTTTAGTTGTTTCATTCTGTTTTCTGATTCTTGATTAATTTTTACATTGAATTTCATACAACTTTAATTGTGATTATAATTTTTACCAGTACACTAGTCATTTAGCCCGCGCTATGTATCGGGTATTCTATGTTTCAAGTAGTGAAGATTTGGAACATTTACAAATCATTATCCATAAGGCAATAAAAGTAGTATGACAGTGTAGAGTATTGAACACACAAATATTTTAAAGTAATTAATGTTTGGAACCATATAACTTAAGAACACAATTGTTTGGAAATTTATTAGCTTGAATCGAATGAAAATGTTAGCACTAACTTGCATATACTATTGTGAACCTAAAAGGAATTGCCAAATACTACCGACTGTATCACAAACAAAATATACTAATAATTTAACTGTTTTAATTGTTTATGTCCTCTGATCATATTTTGTTCCGGGTATAAGCCTCTAATTAAATGTTTGGACAGTCAGATTATCCTATTAAAATGTCATTAGACAATAATTGACCGTGAGTTATGTTTAGAAAAAGAAAAAATGATAACGAAATGGATCAGTGCATGAAATTAGTAGACATGGGCAATTGCTATTCAAAGCAAAATATTAGTGATAATTAGTCTTCCCTTTTATTTACACAAATTCAATGATTTGCATGTTGGACACCTAGGATAACTTTGAGCACAGATGAAAACAGATGTCACCACCCCAATCCCAATTTTCCCTTCTTTCTCCTCTGCTCCTCAAGACAACCCCGTTAGCAAGCAGCAACCTCCCTTAAATTCCAGAGACCATAAATTGTTTTGGCATTTTGGGGAAACTTTTTATTCTGAGATAAATTCTCCAAAGAGGAACCCCATTTCAACACTTCTCTCGCAACCCTTCTACTCCTAATAACAAGCTCGTGTCGCGGCTTTGGGCGGAGGCGGCGGGGAAGCTGTGGCTCCCAGCGGTAGAGGCGGTAGTGGGGAGGTGGGTAGCGGCGGTGGTTTGACGGAGGAAGGAAGACGAAGACTGATCGGAATTTTTCTTCATCGTCGCCTTCGCCTTCGCCTTCTCATCTCCTAGTCGTCGTCCAAGGCTCCAGTGCCCTCCCTTGTTCCGTCGAAGTCCCTCTCCGCCGAGATTTTCGAAACCCTCAAAGACCAAAGCCAGCAACAACGGTGGCGAGACGGACGCCCAAAATCCTCGTAGACCAAACGCCAGCGTCGGCGGCGAGGAGGAGTGCTTTTTTTTATAGGAGGAGTGCTTTTGAATACCAGTGAGCAGTGAAAAAGCTAAAAAAAAATAAAATAAAAGACTACTAGGTGACTCGAACAGACGACCTCATTAATCTACAGTGTCGTTTTTCCGCTAGGAATGGGAGAAGAATCCGTCCCTCAACTTCCTAAAAACAACAATTTATTGTTTCCCCATAGGTACTCAGTTATTGATAAATGGTTTTCTCCAAGAAAAATAAAACACCAAGTGAACATGTTTCTTTGTATTTGTTTCTTAATTTTTGTTGCCCAAACGAAAAACAGAAAACGAAATGGCAAGTGAACGGGGCATAAGGTTGTACGAGAATCCGCAATTCGACGCCATCTGGTTTGCAGGGAACTATGTATGTTGAATTGTTGATTGTTGACTACTTGTTAATGGCGTCTGGATTGAAGTTACTGTTGCTTAATTCATCGTTTCGGTTTGGTTAGGTCTTTGTTTGGGATTGGAATTTAGGGGTCGTTTACTTCAAGGATTTGGTACATGGATTTGGTACAAAAAAACCAACTATCAAGGATTTAGTTACAATCCGTTGTTTGCTTGCACTTTTTTAGGAGACCAAATCCGTGGGGCCCATAAACATGTCAAACATATAGAAAAGTGCAGTAATGTAATTTTTGACTTCAAGTAGTAAATCCCACACCTTTAAATCCATGATAAAAACATCCCAACAAACAAAAGATTGTTACAAATCCATGATGCCTCAAATCCTTGATAAATCCTTGGGTTTTTAAATTACAAAACCTTCATTTTTAAATCCATGAAGCAAACGACCCCTTAGTACCATTATGTGAGGATCATCATCATTACCGGCAAAGTTTATAGTAGGTTTTTTTACAAATTGATGTAAGAACTTTGATAACATATGTAAATAAAATATCATGGGTCATTCCTTCCTACTTTCCAAACTTTCAGTTTAGATCAATGATTTGGTTTCAGTTTAAATCACTGAGTTATTACAATAAATCTTACTATTTTTTTGTTCGAGCTTCGTAGCGATAACAAACTAATTATATTTTTTGTTTATATATTTCGTGGTTATCCACACGTCTCTGAGTATGCCTCACCTAAACCCATGTTCTAGTCACCTTGATCTAGGCTATCGTATCTGGGGCATTAAGCTTAGGGCTCATTTCAACGGACACTATCCACCGTCCACATCGAGGTGATTTGCTGTGTCCTTTTCCTAAATTTTTGGTTTAATAAAATGATATCACCATTAGGAAAAAAGTGTTTAACTGAGGTAACGCGTTGAAATCCGAATTTGTTATAAAGACTTTCTGTTGCATTTGAATTCCGGTATGCATGTTCTTGAGACAAAAGAGTGAATTCCAAGAATCTTTGTCAAGTGTTTAACTGGGATAGCACATTGAATTCATTCCATTGATGTGTTTCTAATTCATTTGGATTATCTACAGGTTCTTGAGAAAGAAGAGTGAATTCCAAAAATTGGAGCTTGAATGGTTCACCAACGAATTGCAAGCTATGGCATTGGCTGTTAAGGAATGAGTCAAGATTATTGTTATACAATGTCATAACATCCCTCCATCTACAGGTTGATTGAGATTGATTGTGCATTATTCGACTTTACATTCCAATGATATGATTCCATATTGAGTTACTCATGAGAAATCAAAGAAGTAAGGGCTGTCAAATCCAACTGTATGCTCTAATTCAACCAAACAAACGTAATCTTTTAGGCTAAACATTTAGATCATGAAGCTACGTTCGTTTTGCTTATTATCTCTAGAAATGTGGATGCTCAGGAGACAGGGACCTTAGAAGAAATTGCTACTTTAGCAAGTTAGTTTAGAATTTTAGCTCTCTAGTCGAATTTGAACTAACAAGCTCTTTAAGATATTGGGTTAGGATATAGGGATAGATAGGTAAATAAAGAGAATGTAATTAGTAGTGGGAGTTTAATCATTGATGTGTTTAAGGACTACTGGTTGTGAGGCCTTCATTAATGGCTTGCTTTATTCCCATTGAGAGTCTAGATTGATTGCATCCCTTTATTCCGTGATCTTTTTATCCCTGTTTAGGAAGCATAATTTATATGTGTAATTCTATGTAGTTAATGTATCAAGGAAGGTCGATATTATTTCTGCAGAATCTTGGAAAGAGGTGTCATCTCCAACATTTCGTAAAATTGTATAAGGCAAGAACAATATCGAACTCTTGGAAAAGTGAACTTTATATTAAAAGTTGTATTGATTATTTTGGTAGATTATGACCGCATTAATCGAGCAACTCAACTTCTCATATTGAGCACTCTCCAACTTGCTTGATGGTTTAAAAGTCACATCAACTTTCGTATCGGTGTTCAATTGGTTTTGTTTGTTTGATCAATATTTACTCTCATTAATGCTTCATGATCGAGTTGTAAATTGAAAACTAGATAAGCTCGCTGCGCTTCGCGCCAAGTGAAAAATAGCAATGTAAATGTGTCATTTGAAAGAATTAGTAAATGTAAAAATCGAATTGGAGAAAAAATATAAAAAAATAGATAAGTTCCTCATTTGTATATGCTCTTGAAATCGAATTGGAGAAAAAATATAAAAAAATATTGAGAATGGAATATGAGACCTAGCAATATAAAGAATGAAAGAACGTACAGAAAAGGAAAAGAAAGAGGGAAGGGTTTGAGAATTAAAGCGTCACTCCAAAAGGGAGAAATAAGTATGAAAAAAGTACCAATAAATTCAATTCATCCCAATGAATTATATTAAAATATCATTGGACCTATGTTTATCATAAATATCTAAGCACCATACAAGTGGAACAAATAAATTTTTTCATATATCTCGGTAAAACTTGGCTAAACGAAGTTAATTCAATTCGACCATCGACCCTTAATCCACTTGTTTGAAGGATTCAACGATTGAAATCGGGTTAACAACTTTGGCCATAACTAATAACACTTAAACAAGTTTGTTGTCTATTTATATATCTACAAAATATATGATAGTGGAGTGACGCTAAACATGTGTATTTGGAAGAAATCGAAAAAGATTTGCAATCTTCTTTAGATGAAGCGCGAATTATGCACAAAAATTTGTGAATTAACAAATGCGGCGAAAGAAAACGAGCGATTGTTTCACAAAAAAAAAACGTACATATGATGAGTGAGAGTGTAGAAGCACATGTACTCATCATGGTCACTGAATGAGTGGGTAATCTAAAGTAACTTTAATGCTCTATCAATATTTTGAATAAGCAATTATCTCGAAATAGATGTTCTCCCACTTTCACTCTCACTTCCACTCCCAACCAATGTATGGGTAATCTAAAGTAACCGGCCAACGGGCCGTGGCAAAAACTAGTTGACTATTGAG